TGTTGCCTCAAATGGCTCTCTGAAGCATCACTTCGCAGACTTGTGTTGCTCTCATGAATGGAAGCCTTCCAGTTTATTATGATTTTAGTTTCTTGAAATCATTAAATTAATACATAAGCCATTCATGTGTCCACTTATTTGTTGTGATAGAAATATATATATATATATATATATATATATATATATATATATATATATATATATATATATATATATATATATATATATATATATATATATATATATTTTTTTTTATGTATATACAGTATATATATTTTACAAGGGATTTAATGTTTAACAATAGCCTTGCACTGAAGGTCCACCGGGTAGGTGAACTAAGCAATATGACATACTGTCTCGTTAGAGGTCTTGAATCACCTCAAGCATTAGGTAGGATATATTGTTGGCACTTAAGTGGACATTGGGTGAGCAATCGCCAAGCACCAATAATGTATCACTGACCTCTGTGTGTGTGTTGTGTGTGCGTGTCTTCCTGCATGGGTCACAAGTAAATTTGCATATTTAAAGAGGCAGCTCAACTACCCCCACCAGTTCATCCAAGATTGAAAACACTGTAACACCAGATTGTGGGTTGAGCTGTTGGGGTGTTGCTCCTAGTAGCAACCTTGATGCAGGCTTCAAGCTGACAATCATCACAAGACAAGGCAGGTGGGCCACGGGGAGCCACATTACCCACGCTATAAGCTGGGGGGGAGGGGTACAAGGCAACAGAGACGCGGTTCCTCCTGTTGTAGGTTACACGCCGTGACAGCAGACTGGCAGCAACATAGCTGAGAGGCGGGCCATGGTGCTCAGGAACACAGCTGTCAGGCAGTGCTCCTCTGAGGGACAGTGAACAAGAGTAACGAAGCGAGAACACATAGGATGATTACTTGACAGGCAACAACATACTAGAATATAACTGTCAGGTGTGAACACGGCTGTCAGGTGAATACACGGCTATCAAACAAGAACAGTGTTCTATTTTGAACAGGCATCATGCAAACAAGTGGTGTGAGGTAAAAACTGCTTTAACCAGACACAAAGGTCGCCAAGCAGACACACGTCTATCACACACACACACACACACACACACACACACACACACACATACAGTTGTCTCAAGAAGTAAAACGATAACAGACGCAGACGTAACATCGTGGCCAGTATAGGAGCAGCAGCAGGAACCTAATGAACTGGACACAGGAGTCTGTTAGATGAATCGTGGTAGGATGAGGCCGTAGACAGTAGGACCTTGTGAGGCTATGATGGGATGGTCTTCACACACTCACACACACATGGGTTGTTCACGGCGCCCTTAGAATAGATCATTGCGCTCCGGTACTCCAAGGGCGCGGGGAGGGGCTACAGTTTTACCAATGAAAAATAATGTCTCGGGGTGAAGACGGTTTCTGATTTGTTAATATGTTTTTTAATTGTTGGTTGATTAAGTTAGTGTGATTGATGATGGTGATTAAATGCAGGTATGTGCAGTATTGTAAATAAAAAATAATGAACGTCACACTAAATATACTGCATGCTGCAATGTATTCGTGTGAAGTATGACCTCTCGTATTTAACGTCATTGTATTACCAGTTTTCATTATACGGCGGGATGTTTGTTTGTATTTTTATGTTTAATTGTTGATAGCATGAGGTGCGTTATTCTTATGTGGCATTTGTAGGTGAATAACAAAGCGGTGGCGTAGTCAGGTGTAGTTTGTAAACGTTTGTAACACGAGGGAGGCAGAAGCTTTGTTTAAACGTTTGTAACACGAGGGAGGCAGAAGCTATGTTTAAACGTTTGTAACACGAGGGAGGCAGAAGCTATGTTTAAACGTTTGTAATACGAGGGAGGCAGAAGCTATGTTTAAACATTTGTAACACGAGGGAGGCAGAAGCTATGTTTAAACGTTTGTAATACGAGGGAGGCAGAAGCTATGTTTAAACGTTTGTAACACGAGGGAGGTTATGTTTAAACATTTGTAACACGAGGAGGCAGAAGCTATGTTTAAACGTTTGTAATACGAGGAGGATGGAGCTGTCTAAACGTTCGTAACACGAGGAACAATGGAACTATGCTTAAACGTTTGTAACATGAGGAAGGATGGAACTATGCTTAAACGTTTGTAACACGAGGAAGGATGGAACTATGCTTAAACGTTTGTAACACGAGGAACAATGGAACTAGCTTTAAACGTTTGTAACACGAGGAAGGATGGAACTATGCTTAAACGTTTGTAACACGAGGAACAATGGAACTATGCTTAAACGTTTGTAACACGAGGAAGGATGGAACTATGCTTAAACGTTTGTAACACGAGGAACAATGGAACTATGCTTAAACGTTTGTAACTACAGGAGGAGGAACTGAGCTTGAATGTTTGTAACACGAGGAAGGCAGGAGCTGTGTTGATGTATGAGGGTCAAGTCCACGGGCAAGATTGATTACGTCCTCCCCTCACCCTCCTTTTAACCAGAGAGGCGCCTCTTCCCTCTCGCCGCCGCATTAAATCATGATGACTATCTGATCACTTGGTGTGGAACCAGGCCGCCACCGCCACGCCGACCACTGCCTCCCGTCACCAACTGTAATCCTGCCTCTAGCATCACCCCTTCCTCTCACCCCCATCATACACAAACACTCCTCAGAAACCCAGAACAAACGTCGTATTAATATGAGGATTATTTTTTTTTACCACGACACTAAATAAATGTCAATTCTCTCTCTCTCTCTCTCTCAGTAAGAATTAAAGGCCTTTTCACTAACTAGTTTTGATTATTGTTGATGAGGATTGTTTATTGATGTGTAGCACCAGGCTTTTCTCGTCATTCTTGCTTCAGGTGGCTCTCATCTGTGTGTGTGTGTGTTTGTAGGCGTTTTCGTATCTGAACTTATCGAACTTTTTGGTATTGCCTGAAAGTACAAAATTTAGAATCTAAAATTTAACAGTTTAAAAAATGATAAGAAGAAATGTTTCCTTATATTACTGGGGGGATAAATTGTGTTTCCTCCCATAGCTATATTTTTTACACGAGTTTTAGAACCTGAATTTACACTTTATTTATATTTATTTTTCACAGTGGACGTGAATAATAATAATCTCAATTAAATCTTGTGGTCGCCCAACTTGTTACCGTTACTTAATATTTTTTATTTGTTGACATTTACCAATATTTCAGTTTGCTACCGTCATTCCTCTTCAGCATCACTCCTTTCATCACCTTCCTCCTTCATTATTCTTCTGTTGGTCATAAACTTTATTTTCTCCCGAGGTGACCACAACCCCCAAATATGTTAGGTTGTCTTTTATTATTAAGAATAAATCACTAGTTCTCTCTCGTCATAAAAATCGTATTACTGCCATAAAATACTACTACTGCCTTATGTGTGGAGACGAGCAGGCTTTTCTCTTCTCTCTGTCCCACTTTTACAAAATCCAATCGGAAACCTAATCAGATAGTCTAATTCTTCCTCACCTTCCTCTCCCTTCTTTATTCCTCTTGCATCTACCTCCCTCCTACCCCCATTTTCCTCCCTCCTACCTCCCTTCTATCCCCTTCTTCCTCCCTCCTACCCCCCCTCCCATCCCCTGTCTTCCTCCCTTCTACCCCCCTTCTCACTCCCCCCTCCTCACCCCTTCTTCCTCCCTTCTACCCCCCACTCCTTCCTCCACTCCGTCCCACCCCTCCACCCTCCCAACCACCCCTGTCTTCCACCTACCTCTTTCTCCTCCCCTGCTCCCCCCTCCCCCTTCCCCCATTTCTGTTCCCCACTCCACCACCTGCACCACTCTTCTTCCCATTCTCTAGGTCGTGGTTCAGTATCGTCTTCATCCTGTCGGCCAGTGGGGGGGGTCGTAAATATTTTCACCCATTATCGTAAACCCAGACGCAGTGATCGCTGCCTCTCTGCTCCCCCCTCCCCGCTAATCGTTGACTGATCGAAAACACGGAACTAGTAAGGGTGAGATTATTATTGATTTGCCTGTGACTCTCCTCCCTCTCTTATTATTATTATGTATTATCTTCACATCCTGTACCGTCTTAAATGAGTGGTGGGTTTATTTTTTGCCTTTATTTTATTTTTTTTTACAAGGAAGATCCGCTTTTGTGAATGATGATACAAGGTCATCTCTTGTCACTGTTTGTCTTGGTTTGTTTCGTGAACTCTCTCCTCTTCCACTCTACTCATTGCTGGGCCCAGACACACACACACACACACACACACACACACACACACACACACACACACACACACACACACACACACACACACAAGGGGATTCATGCACCTGTTTGTGTACCTTGGCTTTTCCATATGTAGACATACCATGACAAATACATGCTCTGTCTAGTACACACACACACACACACACACACACACACACACACACACACACACACACACACACACACACGTACATACCCTGACGTAGGAGGATAGAAGACCTCTCTAAAGTGCTATTGTTCGACTAATTGATCGCGTGAGAGAGATAGCGGCAGGAGTAATATTTTCCTGCTATGGATATATTAAGTGGTAAAGAGATGAGGGAGGAGGGGTGTACCGGAGGGTGAGGAGTATGAGGCGGCTTACAGTATATCATGATCGTTGTCTGGGTGGTGGGGCCTGTAATTACGCCATGATGTACTGCGTTCTCTTGAGGTTATCTGTAGTGGAGCTCTGAGGTCTCTCTCTCTCTCTCTCTCTCTCTCTCTCTCTCTCTCTCTCTTTCTCTCTCTCTCTCTCTCTCTCTCTCTCATTGGTGGGTCGCTCCGAAACCTCCACACTTTTACACACACACACACACACAAACTATATGGGTAGCTTTTACGGGCAGACACTCTTGTACACACTTTAACGCAGACACACTCCTACAGTCATGCTCTCACTCACACATTCACACTCGCACACACACACTCACACACGCACACACACACACGCACACGCACACACACGCACACACACACACACGCAGGATACCGAGAGATTATCGCCCTCTGTATGTACAAATATGCACCCATCGGCATTAAATTAAACGAACGCTAATATAAAAAAAAAGGTGAATTGATATGAAAAGATTATTCAAATCAGGGTGATAAATAAGCATCAGTATTCTCATGAAAATTATAAATTAAGCCGGTTGACGTATACATGTGATGTTAATGGATTGCTGATTTTAATGAACGGAATATTAAGTGCGAGTATCAGCTAATATTAATGTTTGAAGTAGCTTTTAATCTCCTGTGCAACACGAGCGATGACTGTGTGCGTGTTGTAGAAATGGGTCTTGACTTGGGTGTTTGTTTTTGAGGTCAGGTGTGGAAATGGGTCTTGAGTGTGTTGTTTTTCGGGGGTCAGGTGTAAAAATGGGTCTTGGGTCTTTGTGTTTGAGGTTAGATGTAGAAATAGGTCTTGGGTGATATTTTTCGGGGGTCAGGTATAGAGATGGGTCTTGGGTACTCTTTTTCGGGGGGTCAGGTGTAAAATTGGTCCTTGGGTCTTATTTTTCGGGGGTCAGATGTACACAATTGGGTCTTTGGACGGGAGGCACACAGGTAAGGAGGAGGAACAAGGTGGAGTGTGTGAGCTGATGGTGTGGTGTGGTCTGGTGAAGTACTTGGTTGGGTGGGTCCGTGAACCTTAATGTTGATGATTCATTCTGACCGCCCTTAATGACCCACCTTCCAACCCAGAGTCGTCATAGGTAGAGTAACACTTTCAATACATCAATTTCATTCCTGTTTATTTATTTATTTATTTATTCATTGCGCTGGGTAACTCGTTTGATATGTAGGAAAGATTTGCTACGGGCGTGGGGCGTGGGGCTGTTGTACTGGG